GGCCATAGAATCAGAATAGTAAAAGGACCATCTTATAATCAGCAAGAACTTGCAGCAAGATCAGTACAAGAAAAATCCATTCCAGTGTGAAGTCAGAGACACACAGACAGCTGGACTAGTACCCCAGCAGTCTGCAGCATGTTGAAAGACTGCACCCAACATCCTCCCCACTAATGTCTCAAGTATCCAAGGCTAGGCTCTCTGCAGCAAATAATTAGGTCTTTCAAAACACAGATGACTAGCCACAGGGCCAGTGTTGAGCTGGATCAAAAAATAGGTTTGTGTCTATGATTTCTTCCCTTACCAAACCAAGATATCCAACAATTCCACAAGGGCCTGATGTTATAAGAGATACTCAGTGGGCGCTTCTACATGAGAGGCTTTAAGTGCAGTAGACATTCTACTGTGCATTAGTGCAGCAGGCAAAACCCATGCTAATGCACAGCAGAATTAGTCTACTGTGCATTGGCATCACCAAAAGAGTGTGCACTGGCACTAATGCGCCGTAGCACCAATTACAACGCATTAAAGGTAGTACCTGTAATTACAGGTCATAAACTTAACGTGCTGTAATTACAGTGCATTAATGAATGTGTAGATGCTCCCAGTTGCTCTATTTCCACTGTACCTCAGCTTCCAGCTACATTCACCCATCATCTACAGGGCTGTTTGAAACAGTCTGTCATAGGAGTGCATACAACATCAAGGGCTTTCTAGATGCCATTTCAACATGGTGTCTGTTTAGTTAAAGCCCCATCTTAAACAACACCTCTCTCCACCATTAGTCCATTTGAGAAATTCCTGCTTCTGAGAACAGCATCATAAAGAGGGGGTGGTATAATCATTGTTATTATAAAGCACTTAGCGATGCTCAGTCATTGCATCTCTTGATAGCCAAACATCCAGAACCCTGTCATTTTACATGCAGGCTACCTCATTCCCAGAAGCTGTTTGCTGGATTGTTCCTTTTCAGCAAGGCACTCAGGTGAAAGAGGAAGTGGGAAAAAGAAAAGCATTAAAAAAAAAAAAATTAATTTATTGCACTTTGCACCATTATCTCAGTGCTTTATGATACAAGCCTAAAAGCTGCCCACAGTACCTTTGGATTGGATTGGTGCTGGTAAGGCAGCACAGATCTAGTGTGAAGCCTGCGGTACTGGAGCACTGAGCTATATCAGGTTTTGTCACAATGCCCCTGCCTTATTCAGTGTTCCACAATAGTAGAGACAAAATATTCAGCTTTAACAGATCACAAACATTTGAAGGTAAGCACAAATTTCACCTCATACAATGAGACAAGTGGACACAACCCCTACCTTCCCTCACACAGGCATGGAAGTATAATGGAGATGCACCTCACTGCATGGAGTGGGGCTGATACTAACCAAGTCCAGAAGGTAACATGGGACTTGTCATGCATAGTTGGACCACTGATACATCTAGATCAACTTCCTGTCTCCCGGGATAGTCAATTCCCTGTGCATACATCTCTCTTCCTCTAGGATAGGGATGTCAAAAAATGACAGGCCCTCAGCTGGATCCAGACCATGGGGTTCATCCCAGGCCAGATCTGTGGGGCCAGTAGAAACTGCAGTCAGTCCAGAGCCAGCAGAACAAATAAGAACTGCCTCTCAGTCATGTCCATAGCCTGATCTAGGATTTTAAAAGGGGGAGAGGGTGTACAAACAGCAACCTGCACTGCAGAGGAACTGCACTCCCCCACTGGAATGGGCAGATCATGCCGCAGGAGCAGCAGCCAGAGACATGCCCCCCCCTGCTTTTTTTTTTTTTTTTTTTTTTTTTTTTTTTTTAAGTAAAAAGTCCCCAAATCAGGTAACAATTCCTCCACTCCCTTCCCCTCTATGCTCACGGTACCTCCCCCATTGCCCTCCCTCCCAGTTTCACCTCACCCCCTCAACTTCTGCACCCAGAAGCATAAGTAGAGAAGGGGAAGCCTACTTGCCACCACCACCACCACCACGGGGGGCAGCAGCAGCAGCAGCATAGGCAAGGGTGAATCCCACTCTGTGCCTGCTGCAGGCTGGTGGGAAACACCCAGCTGGGCAGGGAGGGGACCCTGCCCACCCCTGCTGTCACTGTTCCCTGCTGAGCCCATTTCCCCATGCAACCTAAGTGGGAGGGCAGGAACAACTCTGGAGTTCCCTCCACCTCCGAGTCAGCTGCAATGGTGGGCAGGGGACAGGGAAATGCTGCTGAGCAGAGAGGGGAAGGAGGTAGAGAGAAGAAGATATTCTTACCCAATTTAGGGACTCAAAAAAAAAAAAAAAAAAAATCCTCACTTGCCTCTTACAGTGTAGTTCAAAAGGCTAGGGAAAAACAAACAAACAAAAAACAAACAAACAGCCTGTGCTACTGCACCCCCTCTGGATCCATCCCAGCCATTTGCAGAGGTCTGTAGACCCCAATTCTATAGTAGGCCTCTGCAATAAGATCCCTTCACCCCCAAACTTCTGGGCCAGGGTGTTTGACACCCCTGCTAAGGAACAGGACTGCAGTGGGAACACATTTGAAGTGCCCCCTGGTGCTCACAAGGAAGAGCTACATCAGATTGTCTTTCCTTTTAAAGGGAAAAGAAGCTTACACGCACAGAAGTGAAAGGCTGAAGGGGTGAAAAAGGCAGAGACAAAAAGTTAAAGTCATGTCCCTTCCTCGGCCAAATGCCCCAGAGTAATAGATAAGCAATATATGCATACTGCCACTCACCTTGTACCATCACTTATTCGTTACGATTAAACAATTTCCACCCCAGATATTCAAAAGCAAAGACCATGGAATAATGTTTTCACCAGGTTGTTTATCATGCATTAACCCATCCTTTTTAAACACGTTAGACAGGCAAAAGCTATCACTGTTCTCATAGATAAGAAAAACTGAGGTTAAGTAAGTTGCTGAAGTCCAACCAGCTTGTCAGTGGTAGAGCCATGGCTAGAACTCAGAAGCTTCTGACTCCCAGTTCGATGTTCAAACTCTTAAGGTGGTAGCAATAGGTTCTTGCAACAGGAAATGTGCATGCAAAACAGTACTCTGTGGTACCTGCCCTCTTCAACAACCCAGCATGTTGTACTCATGCACATGCATGCTATAAATCAGATACAATTCATTTTTCTATTTTTAAATGCCAAAATTCATTTATAAAATTCAAAACATGTATTTTCAGGAAGTCAAAAAGCTTGTGCAGATATTATTCAGGTTTGTTTCCCCACTTTCCCCTAAGGAGACAAAAACAGTTTTTAATGTGGTCTTCTTGATGGGTCTTATGACATCATCAACCCCTTTCTATTTAGAATAATGACTTCTTCCACACGCCAAGAGATTTGAAATTACCTGTGAAATATGTTTCCCTAGGCACAGGCTCAAGAAGCATGTAAATTACCCAGCTTAATGGCTTCTAGAATTTCTCAGACACAGGCCTGCATGTGCACATACAGCCCCCTCCAGCTAGAAAGTTTCAGATGCTATCACAGGAGCCATGCAAAGGGGTGAATTTCTGAGGGATAAAGGAGCGCTATTGCTCCAAGGTTCCCCGAGAGCTGGTTCAGACACTGGCAGGTTGCCTTTGGGTGTCAGCTTCCAACTAACACCATATTAGCTACCACACAGGTCACATTTCTGTACACAAACATCCCACATGACTCTTTCAGGTTTGGAGAATCCCTATACCTACAAAAAAATAACGGCAAATATCATGGGTATATATATGGCTTCCCCTTTCGCCACCACATTTGAGAAAGTCCTTGAATTCCGCTTCTTCCGCAGCTGCCCTCTCATCCCCCTGATATACCCAAAGGTACATCAATAATATCTTCCTTGTATGGACACATCAGAAAATTTTTCCAGAGAAATTTCACCAGGACTTTACCAGCTTCCACCCCTCCATCGAACCAACTCTGGAATATTCCACCGAGCAAATTCATTTCCCCAGACCCTACAGTGAAGGTCACCTAGGAGCAACATCAGCACCACATTGTATCAGAAACCTGCAGACTGCCGCAGCTACCTTCACACTTCCAGCTTTCATCCTGCACACACCCCATGGATCCATCATTTAAAGCAAAGTTCCATGTGTCTGCTCTCTTCCTACCAACCAGGATGCATACCTCAAGGATCTGAAGCAGGGATTCCTACATTTGCGATACAACCCCAAAAACTGTAGCCATTTAAAATGAAAAAAGTCAGACTCCGCCCTTGTACTAATACAATACCTACGCCAGGGCAAGGACAATAGAGTCCTTCTGGTTACCACCTACAGCTCTCCCCCCTCATTAATGCACTCCAGCCCATCCTGGAAAAGGATGACTGTCTCAAGGTAGCCACTCATTGCTGACCTCAGGGTAGCTGTTCTCAGGTAGAGAACATTTAAGAACCAAGTTGAACAGGCAATTGTGGAACAAGAAATCCACAAACTGGAGTGTGCTAAGCATGGTTTAAATAGAGACTATGGATTCTTATCCTATTACCTGGATTTGTTTCTGTGACCCCTTTGTTCCTATGGATTCTTTTCTTGTATGCCTTTCCTAGCACTGTCTCCCTGTCCCTCCTCCCTTTCCGACCTTTTGTATTCAAATCACTCTACCCATTTTATACACTGCTCTGTGCATGTCCTTTTTAAACAACTGATGAAGTGAACTTCAGTTCACAAAAGCTTATACTTTAGCCAGTCAAGAAGGCACAAATCTACCCTGCTTTCTGAAGTCAAGATACTGCAGCATTATACAGCCTCAATAAAAAAAAAAAATGGTGCATCATCAGCACAAAAAAGTAATGTTAGGAGTTTTTCTTGGGAAAGGTGCCTGGCCATAATTTACATGGCACAAGCAGCCAAATGTACAATGGCTTATGCTGCAGAATACCCCCATTTAATTTGAAAAGCCTGTTGTAGCACACTAAACACTTGGCAACAATCATATCAACTCTTCTCTTAACTGTCCAGAGCACCAGCCCTATCCAAGAGCATCTCTCTCTCTCTCTCTGGTGCTCAGGTACTAGCCAGAGTTTTATCCACAGAGGACCTCTGGATCCCAAGAGACAACTCCAATCCATCCCCAAATCCTCCAGGCTTGTACCACTGCATTGACTGAAAAGGGAGGGAGCACAGGTCATCTGTAGGAGCAAGTGAGTGGGAATTGTATGAGGTGGGGTCTATTGCCAGCTCTACCACAGACTTACTGCTTGGCCTGGTCATAGAACCCCATGCCTTAATTTTCCATTTTCAGGTGAAAGTAACAAAATGCAAGTGTTATTAGCAAACACACTGAAAGCATTCTACAGCAGAAGGGGACCAAAAATGCATGTAAGAGGAGAAAAAATGCCATTGCCTCAGAAGAGAAGGAAAAAAAGGTAAGTCAGCCCTGAAAAGAGAATGATCTACTCATCCCAGAGGGCAGGACTGAGGTAGAGAATCCACTAAAGATCTGGTCTTCCTGCTCCTAGAGACTTCCATCTGCAGAGCTGGCGACTGATCCTGTTTCACAAGAGCCCAATGAATCAAGAAAGACCCTGAGAACCTACCCTGGAAGAAACTAGTAAGTGGGAAATATCTTTGTCTATAAGATAGCACTGAACATAGTGGGCCAAATTCATCTCTGGGGTAACCCAACTGAACCCAACAGAGTAAAACCTGAAATCAGTGTGTCCCAATGATCTTCACAGGGGTTTTTCCAAAGCTAGTCCACCCTCATTCTGACAGGCTGTAACACACTTCCTAGTCTCATCCATCCTACTAAGCCATGAATCAACAGAAGGCTTGGTATCACGCTGCTCTCATTTTCCTCTGCTGTAGTTAGGATGAACTACTCAAACAAATTTCAACAAATAAGAATTTAAAACATGACAAGCTACATTTCTCACTTCCAAGGAAGCCATCAACAGATTTTTCAAGGCCATTTTCAAGTTCAAAATTAGCTACAAATCCAGGCCACCATCACTGTCAATTTCTACATAGCAGAGGTAAAATGTTAAGTCCAAGTAAAGAAATAGCAGGGTAAAAGCAACAGAAGGATCAAAGTTGTGGAAGTGAGGTGGGAACCCCTTTCCTCTCCCTACTCCCAAGCAGGACAATCCAGAAGTGACAAAAATGTTGAAGTGTGTGACTTGGGATATTCTCTATTTCAACTAAGGGGTGCACCAATAAAGATTTTCTTGGCCAATACTGATAGCCAATTATTAACCTGCCATATCGGCCAATACCAATCCAATAACCGATTTACAGGAATGCAGTTGGGCAGCATGAAGAGCAGCTGCCTGCAGGTAAGTCTGTGGAGGGGAAGGGGAGAAGGGAAGGGGCAGATCAAGCCCCCCCCCCTATGGTGAGGGAGGGAGTGGGGAGCAGGACTGAGCTGCAGGTGGCTCATTCAGGGGATCAGCGTCCCGTCACTTAAAAATGGCGGTAGCTGTGCTTGAACTAAAGCTTGTCAAATGAGCTTTAGTCCAAGCCCTGCCACCACCATTTTTAAGTATCAGGATGCTTTTAATTGGAGTGGAGCCAAGTGGGGCAAGGGGGGATAAAGGCTGCTCAGTGGGATTAGGGCTCTCTGCTCTATTGCCTTTGCCCCAGGAGCCCCATGCTGACCACACGCCCCTGTCTGCCTGGCAGCAGGAAGCACAACTGACTGCCCCCACCGCTGCCAGGTGGACAGCGGACGCACAGGTGGCATGGGGCTCCTGAGTGAGAGGTAGCAGAGCTGAGAGCCCTGAGTCTGCAGCAAGGAGCCTGCATCTGCCCCCCCATGCCTCCCCCCGAGAATGTGCGCAGAAGCGGAGACCTTCCTTCCCTGCCCAATCCCTCTAGATTAGCCGCCCACAGCTGTCCTATTCCCTACTCTGGCCTCATTCACCATCTCGTCTGGGCAGCACCTCCAGCCCCTACCCTACTCCCTCTCTCATTGTGGGGGCCTTTATCTGCTCCCCCATGTCCCTTCCCCTCCACAGACTTACCTGCCAGGTGCTGTGCGTCTGTGTGGGTCTGTATAGCTGAATGCATACATTGTCTGGGGGCCCTGGCTAGAAGGCATATTGTATTTATCAGTGACATTAATCAGCTATACTGGCCCAAAAAAAGCTGATAGTTGATAATGTTAATTTTCCTCTTATATCAGTTGCATATTGGCATCGATATCTAATTTCTATTGTAGAATCTGGACATGTTTACTGTTTCACACAGTACTTCACGTAACATTAAAAAACGTTTTAGTCAATTACAGACCAATCCCTATAGGACACATTGCAAAAATGATGTGGCCAGTTCTGTAGCACAACAGCAATATTTACACTACTATTTTAGGGCTGGGCATTGAATATGAATTCTGCATCCACTTAAAGCAAAGCATGAATTCAAGCAGGCAGATCGCAATTATTCCAATTAGAACTTGGCCCAGTGCAGTCAGGGCTTCAGTTTGCATAATATCTGAGGCAGGACACACTCAAACACCTGGCAGCCCCCCTTTCACTTCCGCAACACCATATTCAAAAAGTGCTGTGTTTTCAAATTTGGAGGACAAGTGCCATTTACTAAATCATCAACACCACTTCCTGCAACAGCATAGTTTTCTTTAGGAGGGGGTTTGCACACAAACGCTGCCTAGACCCAATACTGCTTACTTTAGGAGATCCAGCAGTCGAGATTAAATCCATCTGTTTCCGTGACCATACAGCTAAGGAAAAATGTGAATGGATTATACAAAAGTTACCATATAAAAATACATTTGGACATGGCAAATCCACCCGCACCTGCCATTCAGCTGCATTCCCACAGAACAGGAAAGACCATTTTCCAAGGAGCGCGCCATATATGCAGCCACCCTGAAAATGTGACTTAAGTGTTTTTCACAAAAGAGCCTACTTTGAGTGTCTCTAATCACGTTCATGAACTACTCAAAACATCAGCCCTTACAATACAAGACTACTAGGAAAAGGTGTCAAGAAGGGAAAATGAATACAGTTCCCATGTATCTGCATCACTATGGGTAACTCTTCATGCAAAATATTGGCCTCAGCATTCAGTCTGATCCTAGACTAGATAATATTGTACATTAAGGGAAATGAGGCACAAACAAGGCTGTCAGAATGGCATGCTGTACAAGATAGCACAGGGCTAAGGGAGAGGGGGAAAAAAAAAAAAAAAAAAAAAAAAAAAAAAAAAAAAAAAAAAAAAAAAAAAAAAAAAAAAAAAAAAAGAATCCGCTACCTAAGCGCTTGTGAAATAGGACCTGGCTGCAAGACACCCTTTCACAGCTGGCCATAGGACATTACAACTTCCTCTCATCCTCTTAGTTTCTTGTTTCGTTGACAAGGGAAAGACAGGCGAGGCAGTATGGGTTTTACCTGGGACCAGCTCCACAGCCCTAGACACTGCATAAGTGAAGTGAGAAAATGGTCCCATGTCCTCATCAGGCCTGTCAGGAATTAAGAGAAAGGTGGAATAGTCCCCATGCCACCCCACCCACCTCCAGGAGACAGTGACTCAAGGCAGTTCAGTTTTAAGGCCAATAAAGTCTGCAGAAAAAGAACAAAGGGGATCCCTTTAGTCTTAGGGCAAGAGGGAAAAAGATAGTGTTGATGTCGGGAGCACCAAGCGAGAATCCGTTACTACATTAGATGAATGGGAAGAGATGGCTGTTCAGAAGTATGCTACAAGGCATTTATTTTCTATTTGTACATGGATCTTAAAATGTCTGGTGCATTTTTTCCTTTTATACCATGTCACTGCCGTGCACTGCAGCGAGGGGTCTGGGGCCTTAGAAGGCCGTCAGGCGGGTACTTCTGAAGCTTGGAGTGGAATTAGGCACAGACGCTTAAAATCTGTTGAAAAGCAAGATTGTTTACTTACGCCATCAAGGTGGTGAATGACGGAGGTCAGATACTTGGTTAGTTACAGCTTAGAGTTCATTAGGTTGGTCTGCATAAGTGTTCGGGCAGAAATGGTCGGGCCGGCAGTCGTTGATTTAGGTCTGAGATTGGTCGAAGATGGGGAACTTAGACAAGTGATCAAATTGTCTAATTACTCTGACACATATGTTCAGAGGTCTCCAAGGTGTGTACGGAGGTCTCTGACTTTGCAGAAGTAAAAACGGGTTTTATTTGTGTAATAGCCAATTGGTTTTCGCCACGTCATAAATTTAATTAGAATCGCCAATTATATAGCGGTTTTTGCTAGGGTGTTATTTCAGGGCTACTCCCTGTATTACTCTGACCAATTATAATGATTTATGTAAAGCACAGAAGGTAAAAGTTTCATTTCTGTTAGTGGCGCAGCTATAAATTTCTTGTTGGCATGCACAGCAAAGAAGGCTGTTACTATCATTTTGTTAACCCTTAACCTAGTGCAAAATAAAACTGCTTTGAATGGTATCTCTTGCTTGTGGCATGGGCACTGCTTAATTGGGTTGTGACATACCACACTAAAATCAAGCCTCTGCACTCTTTAAAATTAGAAGAAAAAGGTCTGAATTCATCCCGGGCAGTTTCATTACCTTCAGCAAAATTACACCAGGAAACATTTGGCCCAATAATTTGAAAGCACTTGAATGGCACACAGCTTGTAAATACAGGTTTCCCTCGCTTTATGCTGTACATGCGTTCCTGGAAAACGGCACATAACTCTAATTTGCATAAAGAAAACCCACTTTACAATGTAACAAATAGGGATACATTCCAAGACCTCAATTGTACTGACCTGCAGACCCATTTCTACCACTTTTACAAGACAATTTTGGTACTCACCAACAGCAGATAGTACACACAAGCACAGAGCACTATCATAATGGGGATGGCAACTACAGAAACATGTGTTGCAGACAACAAGCAAGGAGCACAGATCCACACACAAGACTATATTTTGGTGCTCATCACTCCCACAGTGCACCACACAAAACAGCTGACTGCGGGTTTCCACCACACAGATCGCATAAGAGTGAAATTACCTCGCATACAACGAATTTTTGGTACAAAAAGGGTAAGTCACATAAGAGCAAATTTGCACATACAGAACCTGCATAAAGCAAGGGAAACCAGTATAGCACTGTAACAGAGAACAGCATACATTGATAAAGAGGATGACTTCTGCACAGTTATAAGTCCCAGTAGAGTAAGGATGTTTCAACCCTAAAACAAACAGGCACCAGTGTATATAGATGGGGTGTACATGTGCACATGTTCATTGCCTCACACACAAAGGAGAAGGGACAGCTTGTTATAGGCTTACACGGATTCATTCCTGGAGCTCTCGGAACTGCTGTCATTCCACATCAGGCAAAATAATGTACATCAGTGACCAAAGTGATGAAGACAATTATTAAGATTCCCAGGCAAACAAAATTATAAAAAAACCCCAACAAACAAAAAACCAACATGCACATAAAGGAAAGACATTGATTTTTCATACCTATCCAACCCACCCAGTTCTGCAGCATGGGCTGGATGGGAGAGGGAAAAAAACAGAATCCAGCTGAAGCTGTGACGCATACCTAACAGGTTGTAGACTCACACTCCTGTAACCTTCTTCAGCTTGAAAACTTTGAATAATTAA